AAAAAAAAAATTTTTAAAGTGAGGTACGAAAAAAAAAAATTTTTTTTTAAAGGGGGATGACGAAAAAAGAAGAAAAATTTAGAAAAAATAACAAAAATAAGACAAGAGAAAAGAGAAGGAAAGGAAAGACAGAAAGGAAGATCGGAAGATCAAACTCATCACTAAACTCATCAAAGTAAGGGTTTATATAAAAAACAAAAAACGTATCATAATAAAAAGTTCCAAATAAAACGGCATGGTGCTTTTTGAAACAATTTACAAACTACAGATATCATGAACAGACGTGACATTTTTTTCATTTCCGTCGTTGCATTACGAGAGATGCATACCCGAGGCATCTTAACAATGGACATGCTTTAGAATGTTATTTCGGGAAACGTAGCATCATACGCAGTTGTAGCAGTTGCACTATCTTTTTTTCGCCAGCCTGGGACAAATAAAGAACTTGAAAGAGCAGTCCTGGCGCTAAATAATGAAATCCAAAGAATACGTACTGAAAACGAATGGAAGAATGACGCAATGTTGCAAGGTTAAGAAGCATACACGTCACAGTCCGCAGTCCGCAGTCTGCATGTGATTCATTGCACGTGATTTCTGACGTTTATTCTGTGCCTCATTTCATCTATTAGGATCGAACCGATTCTCTTCTTCAAGTCGTTCAACTACAGGAAAACGTTCCGAGCATGATGACGAAACAGCAATGTATTGGGTCGAATTCACTGCCATTTTCGATCATAGAAGAAAAAAGGGGAATCGCTCTCCTACACAAATGTACAATATATTATCCGATGAGATCGGACTAAGTCCTGGTACATTAGCCAGCTTCTATCATCACCGAACGAAACCAAGAAAGACTACTACGATGAATAAAATAATTCCATGGATAGAAAGGGAGGGAAAAAGGGTAGTTAGTTTTGCGAGTAGTAACAGTAGTATTATCAATAACGAAGTTAGCAATAGTTAGTATAGGATAGCGGGAAGGAACTGCCATTACTTTTACTACGTAAAAGCGTCTAGAGGTGGGCAGGCATATTTCATGCTTTATTCCTCCCTTGAAACATCCGCTACTCTAATGATTCCATACTTCTAATATAAAGTTAATATAAATAACACTAACTTTTTAGATTGGCTGCTTTCCTATGTATATTTGTTGAAAAAATTTGAGAAAAAGTGAAACAAAAAAAAATATGATTTTTAAATTTATGAATGCATATTTTATAAATGCTTTTTTATTAAAGCAAATACTAGTTAACCTAGATGTAAAAATCACCGAGCAAGAAGTTTACCGATTAATTACCCAAACTTTAAAAACCTTAGAGCAAATTAGCCAATTCGAATTCAATAATCTAACCAACACCCCCCTACCGGATTACCCCCTTAACTTTCGCTCCCACTGAGAACACCACTAAAATTCAGACCTATTTAAAAACTTTACAAACTCTAAAATTTAGTAGCCAGCAAATGTTCCCAAACCAAAAGAACTGAATAAAGTTTATTTAAATTAAATCGTGAAATGAGTAATGCCGGAGGTAACAATCGTACATTGCTGTATCTGAGTACTTAATGAGAAGAATACCTGACCATTCAGGCTAAATGTATACCCGCGAGACTCCGCAATAAGATAACATTTAATCCCACCAATGACTACTGAAATCAAATTAATTCCTCGGGAATCAACGATTGTAAATTGAGCTGGGGGAGGTACCGGATTGCTCGTATTGAGCGGTAGCTATCGATAGAATAACAAAATTGAACTTGAATTTATAGTGCAGTTTAATATAAATTATAGTTTATAAAAAAATAGATCAAAATTTACCGCCGAGTCCGTAAAATAAACTCTGGCTACCGCCGGAATGCCTTGCATATTTTCTATTCTCATATCTAAATTTGCGTTTAAATTTACTCCGTAAATTGTTGTGTTCAAATAAGAAAAAGAACCTGCGAATTGCATTTTTAAATTTTATTAAGGGAAAAAATTGTAGTTTGATTTATTATATATTATTTTACACTATCAATATTTATATCACTTACTATTAATCATTGTTTATGTCAAATGCACGATCGCGTAAAAAATTAAGCTCAGAAAACTCAGAAAACGGATGACATCAATCACTAATCAATTACAACAAATCGTATCACATGATTTATTACTAACTACCGTATATTGCGCCAATTGGCCCGCAATATACGGTACATATCCGCAGAAAAATCCCTGTAACATAAATCACGGGCAACTTTTTTTTATATTATTGTGGCGATCAACTGCGAAGGAAACTTAATTATAAAAACTCTGGATATGTTGGAAGCGCTTCTAGTAAGAAAACAAACTGAAAATACTTTCATATACAGACATCTCCCTGCTCGTGTTCTTCTGTATAGTAGCAATAATCTACGAAATGACATCCCGAGGTCTTTTATCAATTGAGACATTCAAAGTTATTTTTTTGAGAAATTTTTTCATATATGTAATTTTCGCAGGAGCAATTATATAATGATCTTGAAAGATCGATCCTGGCACTAAATAATGAACTTCAAATGAGATTGAATGGAGAAACGATGTAGTTTCCCAAGTTAAATAAACGCTTCTTCACCTAGCTTCGAGGAGGAGCTAATACTTTATCACACATATCTTTCTAGTTGGTTCAAGAATTTCCTCCACGAGTTATGCATCCACAGGTCGTCGTTCTGTTTATACCGAAATGTACTGGAGTGAGTTCGTGGCTATTTTTGATCAAAGAAGGAAAAAGTGAAAAAATCTCCTACGCAGATGTACAATATATTATCCAAGAAATCGGTCTTAGTCCTGCCACACGCCCACACTGGCCAGTTTCTATCGGACTCCAAGGTCTACAACGATGGATAAACCATTCCATGGCTCGAAAGAGAAGGGAAAGGGTAGTTAGTTTTGTGAGTAGCAGTTAACAATGATGATGAAATTAGCAGTAGTTAGCAATACGGAGTAGCGGGAAGGAACTGTCATTATTGCATTGCAAACGTCTAGGGCGGGCACATTCCTCCCTTGAAATACCCGCTATCCGCTTTATTTTTTATTCTGCATAGCAACCAGTTTCTTTATCATATATTACTTCATAAAAATAAAATCTATATCTTTGCCATTTAAAACGTGTGTGCGTATTTTCAAGTGAAACGTTGTAAAGATAAATGTTTTATTAATACAGACTGAAGGATAAATACAAATCGGGATATTACACCCGTGATACACGCGAAAATAAATACAGTGGTTCGGGTTATTACCCGCGATACATGATATCTACACTAACTTACTTCTCCGCGATTTTGCTCAATGACTTTGACCTTTTTATTTCCCTCTCTTTATCTAAGTTAACAGCCGAATCCGCCTTTTGCGACTCTTCCAACAACCAGATAATATGACCAAGGATCTTCTCCGCCATGTCCTTCATACCCGCATATTCGTACACAACAAATAGAGGTTTCGACAATTTGAACAACGGTTTCCCTTCAGCATCTTGCGTGCATTCCATGAAGTACCATTTCTCCGCATCTGTTACGATTCCCCATACTTTATCAAACCCATGTTCATCATCCATTTCATTTGCTTTGCGCTTACGACCTAGTGACGATTCCAACTGTACAGTGGCTTGTGCAAATCCCTGCTTAAAATCATCTTTTTTGACCTCAACTAGACCGACAATTCTCCCGGTCGTACGTGATTCAATTCCATAGTCAAGATTTCCGCGTCCATTTTTCCCTTCGATCAACTTCTCCGGTACGACCTTGACTTGATCCTTGAACGGGTAACGAGATAGGTATATGAATAGATGCTTTTGGTGGCTTCATAAGATACGTCAATAGGAGTGGTTGCAACACGAGTCTCCAATTCGTCAAAAAGTTTACGTAACGCCTCTTTATATTTCTCAGCACTACCACACGAAAAAACGGGGTACACGTCAATACTGGGATTCGGGTCGTCGCTAAGTCCATAGAGTTCACACACTTTTGGGAAGGACCATTCGTTGAAGGGCTTCGAGGGAGTCTCTATTAACACAGTGAACTTGAAGTTACTTTTTGACACGAACACCTGAAGCATCTCACGTAGGTCAGTCTTGATCGTTACGAGGAGAGAATTTTCCACTGTCGTTTAACATGTTAAGTACTGCTCCATCATTTTCGAGTGCTAGTGTCTGATTCATAGCGCGTATGGAGTTTTTGAGGCCATCGAGGGTCGCGTGTTCGATATTCACTGTCCACTTGAAACTCTTAGTACGCTTCGGACTCACAACAACGTCGAATGCTGTAATACGATAACCGGGTTAAGTAATTTGACGTGAACATGATTTGCGAAGCAATCGTTTCATAACCTGAAGATTTCAGCGAACAATGTTCGCCCAAATTTCTTGGCAGAATCTTACGTACCATGCACGGACTTGTTGAGTAATGCCTGCAGCGAAGCGAGTTTCTCCCTTAATTCCAATACCTCGTTCGAAGCAGTAGCTGACACGGGTGGTTCAACTAGGACATGAATATGTTTCTTAGGCGGCTTCCAGTAGTCTCCAATTTCGTTTATTGCGGACAGCTCGTCACTGCCATTAAGCTTGAGACTCTTCAACTGATCGTCAAGATGATCGCCACCAATTTCTACCTTCCATAACTTGAGCTTGTCTGCGTCTATACCAGCAAAGTCATTCTGTTTTTCCGCCTTAATAGCTTTCTTGAGGTCACCAACAAGACTATTTCCATCTATATGGACAGGGAAAGCGTTCGCCTTTGACGAGACAGAGTAACGTGACTGACATTTTTCGGGTTTTATACTGTTTTTTGCGAAATGTTATTGGTGCAAAATACGGTGTGAGGACAAGAGTTAAAAAGAATTTTATTTGTGAAAAAAGTGGGATATATGTGAGAAAGGTATTCGGTTGTACAGAGTCTGCCGTATGACGCATTATTATGTCGCACAGGAGTACATGCAACAAACATCTTCCGAGCTGTTGATCGACATTCCGGACCTCTAGCATCGAAATCTCAAATAATAGGGGGACAATCAAACACGTGACATTCTGACCAATGGTCAGGATCGAAATCATGTGACCGATATTCCCGAGAACGCTATTACTCTATCCTGCCATATATTCTTGACTGTAATAAAACCTGTTGCCCTATCATATATGTGTATATACTCGGTACGTCAATTATTTCTTGATTTTTAGCCATCACCAATCAGATTTACCATTCCAATTCTGCGGACTACAGGATAAAAAATGAATCCGTTAATAGTGATGTATAAACTTCGTAAATCATCATATAATACTAATACTCTGTAAATCAGCTATAAAACACTAAAATGCCTAAATTTATTTCGGAATCCTTGTAACCGAACATGAAATGAGTAGAAGACTCATTTAATTTATTTATTTTAACCTGATTAAATTTTTAATTTTATTTCTATAATTAATTAGTTTCATAAAAAATAAAATAATACATTAATAATTTTAAAAATAATACTTTCAAATTAATTATGATATTTTTAAATAACCGAAAACTATTCTACTTTTACCATAATGGATTTTCTTTTTATTTAATACTATCAAAAATAATTTAATCTTCAAAAATCCTAATAAAAAAAAAATTTTTTAATTTGATGAAATTATGAAATTAAGTAAAGAAACATTAACACACATAATAGGCAGGGATTCTCATTTATGGCGCCCAATAAACTGGGTAAAGTACATTGTTTAACCCCATAAAATACAGTATAGTTTATATTACTTATAAGTAAGAAAGATGGCAGCAGTTCTGCTCTTACTATGATAGATTTTCTTTCTCTAAATTTCTCAATTAAAATAAAATAATTTAATCTTTAAAAATCCTAATGATTAAAAATAAAGAAAGGAAGAAACATTAACACCAGTTCTGCACATAACAAGTAGGAATAGTGCCCAATAAATTATGATTTGTCATAAAACTTAACTATCCGTCCTTTTTCAGAATATGGTTGGTACCAGGTAAGCCTCCGGGTAATGATGACCCAGATTGTGGATGATAGTTAATCCAAGCAGGTAAGGACAATGGGGCAGGTTCTTAATAACATGATTGTTCGTAGGGAGGAAGTACTGGATGCATTCCAGGTGCACCTGTCCAAGTTGTGGTGATAAACCTGGTGCATGCTGTCCTGGAACTGGAACGTGTGATACCATTTTGATGATATTGTTGGTACCGATCCTGAGGTTGTCTCTCTTGTTGTTGTCTGTTTCTTAAGTTGTACCATCACGATATGACCGTCATTATATTGTCTTCTCCGACTATCTTGACATTTATCTCTAGGCCTTTGCTCATAAAAACTACCTCTACATCCTCCTCTCCCATTACTTAATTACTACGACCCCAATATTGTTATTGCCAACATTGTTATTATTATTATTATTTTAGATCATTGATTCCATAATCTCTATTATCTTACACGATTTCCTTCCCGATATCCTTATTGTGAAGGTACTTCTGAATGTGAAGGCATAAAGTAGAATAAAACAAATCAAAGAAAACAAAAAAACAAAAAAAAATGAGACGAATGAAGAAAGAATGAAAAAAGAGAAGAAGATAAAAAAGGGAATGAAGAAAAGAAGTAATCTGGTGGACCATATGGGTTTTCTGGTGATCTAAAACTATCTATAGTATTTGTTTGCATGAGCTTTAGAAATATGCAATGCCGTTCAAAAGTAAGGTCTTTATATATAATTTTTTGTTGTACAAATTTTATGTAATATTGAATACAAAAATGTAATGAGTCATTGACTTATGCAATGACTCATTACAGCCAAAAAAAAAAGTTGCAATAAAAATGAACAATAAAAATATAATAACAAAAAATCCTTCTTTATTGACATTATTAGTTATTATTGATAATTAATAAATAAAAATTCAAATCTATTTAAGAAAATCAAAGATAAATGATAATAAAAAAATTCAGTAATTGAATTTTAACTGCATTTTCAGTAAGGATTACTTAGTAAAAATTCATGTCATTACATTTATCTGGGATTTATTTACATTGTAATTAGTAATATTTGTAAGTCATAATTGTCTGAAGCATGATTTTATACAAATTGCTGGGATTTTTTGATTATTTTGAAAAAAAAAATATTTTTTTATACTTTTATTTGAAATTAAAACAAAATTGTTTTGATTCTAACATATGACAATACTTTATCTTTAAATTTAAAAATATTCACAAATGTCTAAGACTACAGTAAATTACTTTTTAGCATTATAAAGAAAACAAGCAAGAGAAAAAAGGAAATTAAAGCAATAGTGAGCATATAAAAATTTTGATAAACAAATTTAGCAATAAAATAATTATAAAATACCTGTATAGAATGTGAAAGAAATATAGAATGTAAGAAAAATAACATAACATATACAATCAAGCAAGATTTAAGTATTACACAAATATATAAAAACAACAAATATAATGACTTCATAAAAGAAAAGTATTTTTATTATACAGTAGAGATTTACAATAAAATTTCTTGATAAATAACTTTATTTTCAGCTATTTAAATGATCACTTATATTTATAGCTTTTCATTTCATAGCAAAAAAATTGTTATGATTCACATTTTTAAAAATCTTGTACTTTATCATATGATTTAGTACTACGGCCCTGCCACAAGGGGCTTCCTAAGAAGCGCACTATGCTCCTCCCATGAAAATTACGCATAGCACCATGCTGTACCACAACCAACCAGCTCTACTGTGAGACTACAGCAAAAACTGGTACTCACAGGCTTACAAAGTAAGCACACTATGCTCCCACCCAACGCATAGCATCATGCTGCTCCAATAAAAATATCCCAAGCTAAAAATAATGAAGAAATAAAAAAAAATCATAAAAAAAA